TTTTTTTTTTTTTCGGGCATTGCCTGCACCGCCTGCACCGCGGGCGCTTAGCTAGTTCTTCTCTCAAATTGTTGTTTCCCTTTTTTCATAATTTATTATTTTTAATTTTTTTTATTATTATTTTTTTTTTTTGTGTTTTCAGAAACGACGGCCGGTAGCCTCTGATAGCTCGAGGCTCGGCAAGGCTCGGCGGGAAAGGTAGTGTTACGGGAAACCCGTAGCAGCCAGCCCGAGTTCAAGCCTCCAACGAGGGAACGTGTGGGGGCTGCGCACCCGACCTGCACGTGGGCGATACCGCCCAGGGGTCAGCACATAGCACCACTGCGGTCCCCTGCCCCCACTAACATCAGCAGTCTCTGCTCAATGCCGCTCTAGGTGGCGGGCACCAAGCTTGCCCAGGAAGGTACATTAGGGGAGTGGGGATTGAACCCAAGACCTCCTGAATGCCACTTGCGTGCCTTACCGACTGAGGCCGTTGGATAAGTTTTCGTTCCATCCAGCGCGGCCACCGATACCAGATTGTTGTTCTTTTTTTGGTTGGGGGGTTGGGCGGGTCCACCGATGAAGGCTGCCCAGACAGGAAACTGTTTTCTTGTTTTTTGTTTTGTTCCCCCCCCTCCTCTCGAGTTTCGGTGGTGGTGGTTTCTTCTCCAGTCACTCTTGTGCTGGCTTGTGCAGCGGGGATCACCTTCGTCCTTGCTGCCATCGGAGAGCATGCCCCGCCCTCCTACCCTGTCGTTGCCATGGTCGTCTGGACAGAGACCGGCAAACCAAACAGTGGAAACAACAGGGGCAAATCAAGCAGAGGAGAAACACGTGCCGCGTATTTTGAAAGTTTTGCCGACTCTCGTAAGAGGCTTTCTGAGCCTTCCCGCCATTGCTGTGTAGCCCCGGGCTTTGATGACTGCGCGAGTGCGAGGGCCAAGTTACTGAAGGAAACGAAGGAAGAAGACTGAGAGGGAGGGTGAGGGGGGAAAAAACCGAAGCTTGCCAGCGACTGAACTCGAAGACCGCGCTGCAGATTTTCACAGTTGCGAAACTGCCGAGCGCTGATGAGGCCTGTTCTTCCCCTCGTCCGCTTGCTTCTCTTTGCTCATGTTAGCAAGTAATCTTTGTATTTCTTCTTTCCTTTTGTCCAGCGTGCACTGTAAGAGAAGAACGCACAAGCAAAGGAAGGAGAAAGTAGAAAGTAGAAACGAGAAAAGGGGAAAAGGGGAAAAGCAAAGGAAGGAGAAAGGAGAAAGGGGGAAAAGGGGCGGAGAAAAAAGAAAACTGCTTCCGGGATATGGATGTGTGTAGCTAGGGTCGTTGCCATGATAGTGTGTGTGAGGGGGTGTGAAGCCGCGACTTACAGCTTGGCGGCATCAAGGAAGAAGAGGGTTGGATGCTGCTGAATTTGTTAACGATTATCGGTGCAAAAGTTGGTCAATACACAGGGAATCGATCGTTGATTGATTTTTTGACCGGTCGAATGTGATTGGTTGGTTTACCGACAGAATGTATTGATTGGTTTCCAATTCAGTTGCCGATGATTGAATGTGATTGATTGGTTTGTCAATGGGATGTGATTGATTGGTTTTCAATTCAGTTGCCGATGATTGAATGTGATTGATTGAATGTGATTGATTGGTTTGTCAATTTGGATTGTGATAAATCCAATTATAGCAGCACGTATCTTAGTGCCACTTGATCGGTCGATCGATTTATCAAGTAGATTGGTTGAATCTATGTCAGTGCCACTTGATAGGTCTATCCGTCCACGGGTTGACTGGTCGATCGATTTGTTAAGTGGAGGATTGATTGGCTGATTGATTGGCTGACTGGCTGATTGATTGGTTGATCGACTCTGATGGATTGGTTGATTGATTGACTGATTGGTTGGATCGTGTAACCACTGACCCTGGTGATGCATCCTTCAGCACTTGGACTGATCTGACTTCGACAAACCATCATGTATTCGGAACGGTGTTTCAATTAATTATTCTGTTTTCAATTCGATTAGTTACTCGATTATAGTACCATTTTCTCAGTGTATTGTCATTAGAACGGCGTTCCGATTAATTATATTGCTTTCAATTCGATTATAGGTACTTTATTACAATACCATTTGGTCATTGTATTGCTATCATTATATCGGTTTTGTTGATTACCATGAGAGGCGACTGGATGGGTCGGGGGCGGGGTGGAGGTATGGTCTGACGGAGGAACCTGAGAACGGGGCTGGGGGAAGGGTAACCTGATTGGGAGACAATGTCTGCTGATCTTGAAAGGGTAGAAGATGGGAGAATTGAAAGTTTTACGGGAATGGGAGGAGGAGGAATAGGTGGAAGAAGGGGGGGAGAAATTGGAGGAAGAGGGGGAGGAGGAGGAGGAGCGGCTGCTGGAAGAGAAGGCCGGAACGATCGTGATGTGGAAGCAGAGACGCAAGACGCGAGTTTTGCAGTCGACATGGGAAGAGTAGAGATGGTTGAGGTTAGTCTGGAGACAGTCGGGATCGGTACGGATGGAGAAGGTGGCTCGGAGGGTAGCCGAAATGTGCGCCAGGGAAAGGGTCCAGCAGACCTCAGGGGACTCGATGAGCAGGAACAGTCGAATGGGGAGGTGATCGATGTAGAAAGAGGAGGAAGGGGAGAGAGAGGTGGAAATGAGAAGGAATCCGAAATTGAGGATTCATGTTTGAGCCAGTCTTTGCTGTCGCAGTTTGATGAATTACTAATATTTACTCACGATCCATCAAGCTGGTTTAAAGAAAGTGGGCGGAGGATAGTGAATAGGTATGCTCCTGTTCTGTCGGGATTACTGTACTGCTCTATGTCGTGCGGGATGATTCTGTTGAATAAAGCTGTGCTGTCGGGATACCATTTCCCGGCGACGTACTACCTGCTGGCTTATCAAAATTTGGTGAGTGTTTTGGTCGTTGTGATAGGCTCAAATTTGGGCTTTTTTGAGGTCGAGCCGCTAACCTGGAGTTTGTGTAGGGTCTGGTTTCCGGTTAACTGTCTCTTTGTAGGAATGATTGCTTCTGGGCTGTACAGTCTCAAGTATCTGAGTGTGGCGATGGTGACCATCCTCAAGAACTTGACCAACGTAATCACGGCCTCAGGGGAGCATGTATTTTACGGCAAACGACATAGTATGGGAGTGTGGTCAGCTTTAGGGTTAATCATTTTGTCCTCCGTTTGTGGGGGAATTACCGATCTTACCTTCACTTTGAAAGGGTACACGTGGCAGTTCGTTAATTGCCTTCTCACGGCTGGGTATTCCTTGTACCTTAAGAAAGCCATGGCTCTGGCCCAGGAGGTGACGAGTTCAGGAAGGATCGGAGAAGTTTCGATGGTCATGCTGAATAACGCTTTGTCGCTTCCGATGTCGGTGATCTTGCTAATCGGGATGGGAGAGGTGGAGGTGCTTGCATCCTCTCCGTTGATGACAGATTTAGGTTTCTGGATCGCCGCCACATTGACTGGGCTGCTGGGCGCTTGTCTCTGCTTCTCCGTCATGTGGTTTTTGCATTCCACCAGCCCCACAACCTTTGGCTTGGTAGGTTCTCTCAACAAGGTCCCGACCTCTTTCATCGGGATGGCGCTCTTTCCTGTCAAAACGCCGGCCTCGAATGTCTTCAGCATCGCTCTCGGCCTAGCTGCGGGGGTAGTCTTCACTCTGGCCAAACTGCGAGAACAGAGAGCCCCCACTTAGAGCAGTCGGCCCCACTTTTAAGCGGCATGGCTATGGCAATTGGCTAAACGATGGCTTTGGCGATGGCTGTAGGTGAGCGGTTACTATGAGGTTGTGGGTAGGGAAGTGACTAAAGGCTCGAATCACCTCCAAGAGGCATGGCTGTGCGTGTCCACTGGTGGAGTTGTGGCTATGATCGGAGTGGTTATGGCTATCGAGCAATGAAATGACGGAGGGCAATTGTTGGGCTGTTGCTAAGGCTATGGTTTGGATGGAGTCGGCAATGGCTATAGACTCGGCTATAGCCTTTGGAATAGGCTCGGCTATGGTCTAAAGGCGTGGCAATAGACTTCGGTATAGGATCGGCTATCGGCTGGAATGAACTGCAAAAAGCATGGCCAACTCTATAGTCTATCGTCTGAGCTCTGGCTCTGTCAGTAGCTATGGATTTCGGCAGTCCCTAAGGGCTAGGACTGCTGAAAGTGGTTGGAAAGGCTATAGCCTTGGGTTGCACCATTGCTAAAAAAGGCTATGGGGTGGGCCGTGGCTATGGCGATGACTTTGCGTCCTGCTCTGACTTTGGCTGCCGTCTTTCCCGGAACACAAGGCAGCCTTATTATGATTTTGCAGTGCCGGAGAGGGAGCTTGTATACGTTTACCAGGGTACGCTATGTTCCGGGGAAGACGGTGTTGGGGGGGGGGGATTAGCCTATATGATTTTGGCGGTGACGGTGAGTAATAGCCAGTTTGGCTATGGCTGTGATCAGGCGATGGCTTCGGGCTTTAGTCGCTGCTATGTATGTATGTTTTGTGTAAAAGTAGGCATGTGTAGATCTAGCTGTAGCCAGACGTATAGATAGCCAACTTGCTATGAGGTTTATAGTCATGGTCTTGGGAGTGATAGAAAGAAACATGACTGCAGCTATCTATAGCTATAGCCGATAGCAGGTTACAGCGCATGTCTACTGCCCTTAATACGCGTAGGGGAGGGAGGGAGGGAGGGGGAGAGAGAGAGAGAGAGAGAGAGAGAGAGAGAGAGAGAGAGAGAGAGAGAGAGAATGAAAAGTCTTACTAAAGCCCTTTTTTTTTTTTTTTGACAGCGTTGTTGGTGCTTTGTTCATCTGTGTCCGTGGAATGTCGGCCCTTGATTTCATTTGGATTTGTCTTTGGAGAGAGAGAGAGAGAGAGAGAGAGAGAGAGAGTTACCATGGAGAGAGAGAGAGAGTTACCATGGAGAGAGAGAGAGAGAGTTACCATGGATGAAGAGGATGGGTGGATGGTTTTCATGTCACAGTATCGGACATTCTCGCTCGTCGTTAAGTTCTTACGTTCTGTCTTCTCTTCCCTGCCAGGGAAGAAATGATGTGGCCGCTTCTATGCATTTCTGTTCTTCGCCGCCACGAGGAACCCGACTGCCATTTTTATCAGAGTCCATGATGGGGTATGGTTGTGGTCCAGCATCACATACGCGTCATAGCCCCTCCCTCCCTCTTCCCTCTTCTCCCCCCCCCCCCCCCCTTCCTCCCAATGAAGAAAACAACCGATCCCGCCCTCCTCCCTCCTCCCTCCTTCCTTTTCCTTTCCCCTTCCACTCTCTTTCCTGCCGTCCCTCGCTGTGGATGTAACTTTTATGAAATACAGTATGTACAGAAAAGGTGAAAATGAAGGTAAAGGCATATTTGTGGGGAAATCGATCTTCGCTTCGGTTACTGCTCATTTGTACAATCAATATGCGAATAAATGAGACGTTGTAAAAGTCCATAAGACAAGGGGGAAGAGGACTCCGAGAAAAGAAGAGAAAAGAAAGAGAAGGAAGAGAAAAAAAAAGAAGGAAATCGGAGACGCATGCAAGGTGTTGCCATAGAGATGGTGAGGGGTTTGACGGAATTCGTCGTCCTCCTCCTCCTCCTCTTCCTGCTGCTGCTGCTGCTGCTGCTGATTGAGGAGCTGCGAGACAGAAGGAGAGAAGTTCGACAGGATAGGGGGAAAATAAAAGGGAGAAACACGAAGAAACAGTTTTTAGCACCATTTCCGCTCTCTCTCTCTCTCTCTCTCTGATTTCTTTGATCCCTCTGCTTTTTTTTTTTTTCCACCCGTCCCGCTCTTGTGGAGGCACGCTACATTTTCTTTTTTGTAATTTTTTCCTCAAAATTCAAATTTCATTACTTCATCAACTATGCTACATTCTCTGTCGCTGCCTCTGCGCGGGCTTTCCCTGGAACAAAGGCTGAAATATAGACTTCCAGGGAAAGCCGGTAGGCAGAGAAAGACTGAACCAAAAAGGCTGGAGAATTTCACTTGGGGCGAGGTCCCACTAGCAAAGAGGAGTGGACTTAACGCCTGAATGTGGACGTATTGGTGGAGAGGTGTAGAAAATCGCGATTGATCTGCATAAAACGCATTCAGATTCGGGTGCTTAATCCAATCCTCTGTGCAAGCGGGACCTCGCCCTCTTCCCACTCTTGTATGATGGGCATTGTATCATCATGTAGGGGGCATGTTCGGCACCAAAAGGAAGGCTGAAATGAACACTAGAATGAAAGGCTGCGATTAAAGCAGAAAAGGAAGTCCGTAGATTGGACCTTGCCCGGATTGAACTTTGAGACCCTATTGATTTGCATTCTTCTCGTCTTGCTTTTTTTTTTTTTCCCTCTGCAGAAACATGGACGTCCTTATTGCTTCCTGCTAACAAACTGATGTGCCTCTTTAATCTATCACGGCTGCCTTTTTTTTGTTTTTTTGTCATCCTCAACAAGACAATTCTCCTTTGCATTCTTTTTTTTTTAAAATAAAGAAAGATAATTTTTCATGTTTCCAAATGAAGAATCATAGTGTGGGAATCCTCACGAGCTGCCCCCAGAACTTCCGGTGGAGCATGTGACTTCGTGATAAGCGAACGAAGTGGTCCAAGCGCAAGCTGAAGCTGGGAATCCTCACAGACTGCTTCAGCTTGTGCTGGGACCACTTCGGTCGCTTATCAAGACTGCCATTGTACGCCATCCCATTTGCTGAGATTTCCGCGTCACCTCTATTGTGCCCATCCAGTTATTTTCTTCCCCCGATTAGAACGCACGGTCATTATTGCTGTATCTAGACTGGAGGTTGCCACAAATAGAGGTATAATGACTGGACGTTCTATTCGAGTGAAGGCTGTAGGCCATTGGGGAAGAGAGAGAGAGAGAGAGAGAGAGAGAGAGAGAGAGAGAGAGAGAGAGAGAGAGAGAGAGAGAGAGAGAGAGAGAGAGAGAATATTCATCCGTATACTAAGGGTGAATGATTTACAATACGATTTGGTGCCTACATCAGTTTGAGATGCCTCATACTCTCTCAGGTCAGCACTCTGAACAGCGAAATAGCGTCTGGGAAAAAAAACAAAAATCTAAATACAGCTCTGTCAGATTTAGGGCCAGCCTGCTGCACCAGGGCATATTACCCTGGCCTCTTCCACTCTGTGTATAGCCCTGCGGCGCGGCTGCTGAATCTGCAGTGATAGTTCAGAATAGACCCTGCGGCATGAAATATATATGGCTCATAGGCCCGCCTATGGCTTCCCTTCCCCACTCCCCCCCGCCCCC